ATGCCGATGAGGACATGGATTGTACTCATTGATTAACTGTGCAGACTTTGGTACCAGATTTCCAGGGTTCAAATTCTAGTTCTTCTTCAGGAGCTATGTGACCTTGAACAGGTTACTTAATATCCATGTACTTCATCTGTGAATTGTGGAGCAGATAGTACCTACTTCAGAGGGTGGTATTAAATGAGTTAACTTAGAATGGTGCCTGGCATACATTGATAGCTACTATATTCTATTTTTTAAAATATATATATTTATCATCAGATAGAAAGGAGAGAGAGAGAGAGCGACAGAGTAACATCAACGTGATAGAGCCACATTGACTGGTTGCCTCCAGCACGACCCCACCAGGGCCGGGGACCAACCATAACCAAGGTACATGCCCTTGACCGGGAATCGACCCCGCGACTCATTGGTCTGCGGACCAGGACCGACGCTCTAACTGCTGAGTCAAACCGGCCAGGGCTTAAATAATTTTTTATTGATTTTAGAGAAAGGAAGGAAGAGGAAGGTGTAAACATCCACTAGAGAGAAACATCAACGTTGATTGGCTGCCCCCTGCACGCCCCCTGCTGGGGATCAAGCCTGAAAACCAGGCATGTACCCTGCCTGGGAGTTGACCTGGGACCTCTCAGTCCATGGGATGCTGCTCAGTCCACTGAGCCATACGGGCCAGGGTGCTCCTGTGTTCTTTTTTTTATCCTCACCCTAGGACATTTTCCCATTTTTCTGTTCAGATATAGTGGGAGGGAGAGAGAGAAAGAGAGAGAGAGAGAGAAACATTGACGTGAAGGGGACACATCGAGTGGTTGCCACTTGCACAACCTGGTGACATGAAAGGGACACATCGAGTGGCTGCCACCCACATGACCCAGCCAGGGCCGGGGACAAACTGCAACCGAGGTACGTGCCCTTAGCAGGAAACGAACCCGGGTCTCTCTGGACCACAGGCCGATGCTTTAACCGCTGAGCCAAACCGGCCAGGGCTCCTGTGTTCTTATATATGCCATTTATACTGTATGAGACCCTCAGGAAAACTCCTAAATAGGGCCAGCCTTCCCAACTTCCCCAAGTAACAAATTGATTTTTTCAAGGTTAGCATATGAGGCTGATTATATTTAAAAAACAAAACGGTATCTCCTGACCCACTGGCTCTTCCATCTAGAACCTTGCCACTCCACCATTGAGAGGTGGAGTCTAATCCTCCTCCCCTTGAATCTGGGGCTTATGATTGGCTCCTGATGTGATGAGGCTGAAACTGCTATGTGACATCCATGGCTAGGGCTTAAAAGGCAATGTCGTGTCCACATGCCTCGCTGGAAAGCGCCCCTTTGAGCCCTGAACCACCAGGTAGGAAGTTTGCTGAGCCTGAGGCCACCATGTGCTGAGGTAGCCTGAGGCCACGTGGCGCGGCCACTTGTACCTTTTCCAGCTGATCGTCGTCCTAGCTGAGGTCCCAGCCAACAGCCAGCATGCACCACCAGGTGAATGAAGAAGACAGACACCTCCAAGTGATCTGAGCCTCGAAGTCACCTCCAAGCTTTCAAGTCTTCCTAGCTAAGGCCCCGGACATTGTGGAACAGAGACGAGCCGTCTCCCCAACCTGCCATTCCAAAGTCCTAACCCACAGAATTAGGAGGAAAAAAAGGTGGTTATATTATGCCTCTGAGTGTGGTTATATGCTATTCAGTAGTAACCGGAACAGCAAATAAGATTACTGCATAGTAAATATATATACTAATATCTGTCATATACTGAACGTAGTCCACAGTTACGCGCCACTCGGTAACAGGGATACATTCTGAGAAGTGTGTTGTCAGGTGATTTTGTTGTTGTGCGAACATCATAGAGGCACTTACACAAACCCAGCTGGTACAGTGCATGGCACATCTAGGCCGCGTGGCATGCCACCTACGTACATGTGGTCTGGCATTGACCCCAACGTCGTCATGACGCGGTGCCTGACATTGGCCGCCTCCTGCATGCCCCCCACTGGGGACCAGGCCCACAACCTGGGCATGTACCCTGACCGGGAATCGAACCGGTGACCTCTTGGTGCAGGGGTCGACGCTCAACCACTGAGCCACACTGGCCAGGCGGGAGTTTTCTTATTGATCCGTCTTTCAAATAAGTCATGGCGTGAGAAATTCAAAAGGTATGAAGGCATATATAGTAAAAAAAAAAAAAAAAAGTGGTCCTGTCAAGGGCCTAGGCAGAGGACTGATACATTGATAAAAATAGCTTCCATTCATAGACAACAATGCGGTGGGGAGGGTGTCAGTGGGGGAAAAAGAAGAAACACCTGTAACCAAAATAAATAAAAACAAGCAGCTTCCATTGATTATGTCCTCCTGTGTATCAGAAACCGTGCAAAGCACTTTATGTAATTTCACTTACTGTCTCGACAACCCTGTTTTACAGGTGAAGAAATGGAAAGCAGGGGGCTTACATACCCCCACGGGGACAATGCCAGGAGACAGTAATTAGGATTCGAACTCGGTGTCTTCTTGCTAAAATAACCACTCCACGCTGCAGCGCCTCGCTGGGAGATCAGGGTCGCCTGCTGGCGCCAGAAACGCAGGTGTGCGGTGGCCCCAGGCCCAGAATCTGCTCCCAGCTGGCTCCCCCAGGAGTGGGGGGGGGTCATATTCACTTTGATTAGCTGAGGGGACCTCCTGACCTCCACTTGTCTTACCTACAGCTATTGTGCAGCACACAGGACGCCCCCCAGGAACCTCCTGAGGGCTGGTTTGCAAAGTCACGGCTGGGTGCCCCGAATAACATCTGGTTCCCGGCTCTCAGACATACCCCTGCTTCAGGGCAGACACACCCTCGAGGTAATGCTAATAACTGACACTTGCGTAGGTGCTTATCATGTGCACCTGGGGTCTAGTTTTACTGGGTGAACCCTCAAAATAGCCTTAAGGAGGCAGCAACCATTATTATCCCCATTTTACAAATGAGAAAACTGAGACCAGGGACAGCAGGTATTTTGCCCGAAGTCACACGGCTTCTAGGCAGAGGGGCTTGGATGTGAACCCGGTTCACCACTCACAGCTTCTGGGGTGAAAGCAGGGGCCGGAAGTTCTGGTTTGGCCCGATGACTGGGTCCATTTCTTTTTAATCCTCACCCGAGGATATTTTTGCATTTATCTTCAGATAGAGCAGAAGAGAGAGAAACATTAATGTGAGAGAGACACATCGAGTGGTTGCCACCCATACAACCCCAACCAGGGCTGGGGACAAACTGCATCCGAGGTACGTGCCCTCAGCATGAATCAAGCCTGGGACTCTCCGGTCCGTGGGCCAAGGCTCTAACTGCTGAGCCAAACCAGCCAGGGCTGGGCTGGGGCCTTTTTAAAAAAGTTTCTTTTATCCTCACCCGAGGACATTTTTCCGGTTTTTGTTCAGGTAAAGTGGGAGGGAGAGAGAGAGAGAAACATTGATGTGAAAGGGACACATCGAGTGGCTGCCACCTGCACGACCAACCAGGGCCGGGGACAAACTGCAACCGAGGTACATGCCCTTAGCGGGAACCGAACCCGGGTCTCTCTGGACCGCAGGCTCTAACCGCTGGGCCAGGGCTGGGGCCTTTTGACATCTGGTCCCCCATTTCTGTTCTCTTTGAAGGAACCCACTCTCTATTCTAGAAGCCCCAGAGCAAGTGGTCAATAGGTAACTCTGAGAAAACCTGTATTAGAGAATCCCGGATGGAGCAAGGGCTCGGCACCTCCTGAATTTGCAGTGAGTGGGAGGGGCAGCTCTAAGTATTCGCTGCCCAGACTGAGCTTAAAAAGTTGATAATTTAATGAAAAGGTTTGTCTCCCAGGTCAGCTCACCTGCCCCCTGCACTCTTCGGAAAGAGATCAGAGGTCAGACGAGAGACACTGGCTGTTAAAACACGGAAGCTCTCTGCCGTCGGTAGCTGCGCCTGTTAGGACTTCGGGAAGCACTCCAGGGAAGCTTCCTGGAGCCGAGCTGCTGGAGAACCCCCAGCACGTGGGCGCCAGGCCGTGCAACAGCATCAGTCAGCACACTGTCTTCTTATAAAAGGCAGTGAGGGTGCTCACAATCCCGCACCAGGGCGGGGCCCAGCTGAGACAGAGACAGGCACGGGAGAGAATGAGCCAGACCAAGCTGAGCCCATCATTTAAATGTAATTCTCTGAAATCTTTATTAGGAAATATCTAATATTAAAAAAGGCATAAAGAATGTTACAATGAACATCCATATACCCACTGCCCAACTTAAGAAAAACAATACAGCCCTGGCCGGTTTGGCTCAGCGGTTAGAGCGTCCCCCTGTGGTCCGGAGAGACCCGGGTTCGGTTCCCGCTAAGGGCGCGTACCTCGGTTGCAGCTTGTCCCCGGCCCTGGTTGGTTGTGAGGGTGGCGACCACTCGATGTGTCCCTTTCACATCGATGTTTCTCTCTCTCTCTGTTCCTCTCTCTCCCTTCCACTCTACCTGAACAAAGAATGGAAAAATGTCCTCGGGTGAGGATGATAAAAAAAAAAAAAAAAAAAAGAAAAACAATACATCCAAGTCCCCGGTAACCTCACCCCTTGACCACCTCATCCTCCCCTCCGGAGTTAGTCATTACCCTAACTTTGATGGTTCTTGCATTGTTCTGGAATTTAAAAAAAATGTTTCTATTGATTTTTTTAAAGACAGGAAGGGAGAGGAAGAGAAAGAAACATTGGTGGCAGAAGCATCAACAATGATCATGCCTCCTGCACGCCCCCTACTGGGGATGGAGCCTGTAACCCGGCGTGTGCCCTGACCAGGAATCCGGTCAGCGACCTCCTGGTGCACAGAGGACACTCAAACACTGAGCCACACCGGCCGGGCTGGAGTCTTTTAGAAAAGAAAACAGAGGAGACAAAGCTGGAAGGGAACGAACTTGATTCAAACACCATGAAACCGGTTGCAGGCCGTTCTGCCAACGGGGTACGGCTCGGAGTGGTGGAGGTGAGCGTATTTAAGAGTCTGGAGAAAAAGCTGAAATATAACGTAGCTTTTATTAAGTAGAGAAAAGGGAATTCAGCTGCACGATACTAAAGTCCCGGAGCAGAGTCCACGAGACCCGTCCACAGGGACGTGTGCACAGTGACGGCTTCAGGCGCTGCTCCTCCTGGAGCCGAGGCCAGGGCCGGTTCTCCCGGAGCTGCTCCACACGAAACCTGGGCTGACTTTTCGGGAGTCCCTCCTTGCGCTTTACTTGGAAAGATCTGAGCAGAGAGCAGGGCAAAGGGCGGTGTAAGCAGTGGTGTGGGGCAGAGAGAATGTCCCCGCCTGTGAGCCCTGGGGAGGCCGCCTGCTTAGGCGTTGTACGAGGACGACGACACGCTGCCCCCGTGGCCTGTCCAGTTGGTGTGGATGAACGTTCCCGGTTTGGTGAGGAGTTCGTAGGTGTGCGCCCCAAAGTAATCGCGCTGAGCCTGGAAAACGAGAAATGGGGTTGGCGAGGACCCTCGGGGACCCCAGCTGCACGTCGCCCACCTCCCCCAGCACTCACCTGGATCAGGTTGGCGGGCAGCATGTCGTGTCTGTACCCGTCGTAGAAGGACAGCGCCGTGGTGAAGCAGGGCATGGGGATGCCCGCCTGGACACCAGCACCGACGGCCCGCCGCCAGGAGTCCTGCGCGAGGAACACCCGGCCCCCCGTGAGCGCCCCGCTCACAGGACAGCTGGTCCCCAGATGCCCAAGCGAAGTCCACCGAGCAGAATCCCCGCCCCCTCCGGGCTACCCACCTGGCAGCTTTCGACAGCTGACTTAAAGAAGTCATCGAGGAGAAGGTTCTGGAGTCCTGGGTTCCGGTCAAAGGCGTCTTTTATCTTTCCCAGGAATACACTGAAACAAGCGAGAGGAGAGGTCAACGAATCCTTCTCGTTTTCTTCTTCTTTTCCCCTAAGTGTCTGATTCCGCAAATTCCAGAGCACACACAGATAATCCTTTATCCGGATATTCTCTGAGTGAAGGAAATCAGTGTCAATCTCCGATGACCCACAGTCCCAGTGCCAGGTCTGAAGGCAGGAGGAGGAACAGTCCTCCGAGTCCGGGAGTGTGACCCGAGCAGGGCAGAGGGCCGGCGGCCGGCTCAGCCTGTAGAGGTACCCGCTGCCCTTCTCGGCCGGAACGCCAGCTGCTCAGTGGAAACAGCCGAAGCCCGGGAGGGAGGCCGGGGGGCGCGGAAGCCTTCACAGAACTCCCTCAGAGGCACGGGGGGACAACCCGGGGAGAACCCTGCGGTACAGGGAGGAAGTGCCGTGAGCGTCTAAACCCGTCCCGTGGCCAGTGCACCCAGGAGGGCACGCAGGGCACCGGCTGTAGTGACACTGTTCACAGTGCCCCAGGGCCTCCGCTCTCCAGCCCGGCAGGTCCCTCCCGTCACTCACGTACCTTCTGATGATGCAGCCCCCCCTCCACATCAAGGCAATGCCACCATAGTTGAGGGTCCAGCCAAATTCAGTGGCTGCCTGTTTCAGCAGCATAAAGCCTTGAGCGTAAGAGATGATCTTGGAAGCATAGAGTGCCTGGAGGACGACACAGAGACTTATTAGAGCCGCCACCAGCGAAGTGACCACCAGCGACCACCAGTCCTACCCCCGGGCAGTGGGACCCCGGAAAGGACAAGCTGGAATTGCCGGACTCCACCTCCGCCCTGTGGCCTCAGTCCGTTCTCCCGAACAGCCCACTCCCGCTGCCTGAAGGGATGAACTGTGGCTGCGATCCGGACAGGCCCCACCTTTCGAATGTCCTCCAGGAATGATTTCTTGTCCCCTTTAAACTGGAACTTTTGAGGACCCTTCAGCTTTTTGCTAGCTTGAATCCTCTCGTCCTTCAGAGATGATAAGCATCGGGCAAAGACTGCTTCTCCTACATGGGGGAGGGAGGATGGTATATTGCCAAAGTTCACACACAAATCCAGAGGAAAAGAAGACACAAGCAGGGGAGGATGAGAGAGAAAGAAAGCAAGATTTTCAATTGTACTAAAGAGCTGAAAGTCTCAACCTTAGGCCACAGACTTTCACCTGGATCAGAAAGAACTTTTATAACAAACTCTAAACAGTCCAGCCGGTATGGTTGAGCTCAGTGGTTAAGCATCGACCCACGCACCAAGAGGTTGTCAGTTTGACTCCCGGGCAGGGCACATGCCCAGGTTGTGGGCCCGATCCCCAGTGGGGGGCATGCAGGAGGCGGCCAATCGATGTTCTCTCTCATCAATGTTTCTCCCTCTCTCTCCCTCTTTTTATCTTCACCTGAGGACATTTTTTTTGCATTTATCTTCAGCTAGAGCAGGAGGGAGAAAGGAAGGAAGAGAGAAACATCGATGTGAGAGACACATTGACTGGTTGCCACCCACACTACCCCAATGGGGGCCAGGGAAAAACTGCAACTGAGGTACGTGCCCTTAGCGGCAACTGAGCCCAGGACTCTCTGGTCCAAAGGCCGATGCTCTAACTGCTGAGCCAAACCAGCTAGGGCTCTCATTGATGTTTCTATCTCTCTCTCCCTCTCCCTTCCTCTCTCTCAAATCAATAAAGAAAAAAAAAATGAGTGCAGATTTCGGGGGGTGGGGGATTCTAAACAGTCAATTTGATAACTAAACCTCCAAGTCAATCTTTCAACATGAATACAGGTATTCAACCATGAAGATCAACATGAAATTCAAAGGAGAATTTTCAGGGACAAAGTGGTAAAACCACTATCATTACTCAGTTTTGGTCCATGAGTAAAATTTCAATTGCAAAGGCTTTAATTTTTTTTTCTTTATTGATTTGAGAGAGAGAGAGAAAAATATCCACTGGCTGCCTCCTACATGCCCCCCACTGGGGATTTGGCCCACAACCTGGGATGGTGCCCTGACCGGGAATCGAACCAGCGACTTCTTGGTGCATGGGCTGACACTCAACCACTGAGCCACACCGGCCAGGCAAGGGCTTTAATTTTTAAATGCTCACCGAAGACTCGATTTATTTTCTTTTGAAACATTTAACTACCCATCCATCTGAAATAACTATGACACTGAGAAGTAACACTGACAGACTCACCCTTCAGAAAGCTCTGTGTTCTAACCGTTACACAGGCCGACCTCAGACACTGCAGTTCGGTTCCAGGCCACCGCAGTTAGGCAAGTGGCACGATAAACAGCCCTAATCCTTTTGCTGGTGGAGGTCTTGCCTTCCCTCTGAAGGTGTGCCTGGAGTTTAATGTTCGGTGTGTCCATGGTTACTACCCGAGTTTCACAATGTTACTTCACTGGTATGAGAAACATTTCAGTGGAGATTGGTACCACCGTAGACGGAATGAGAAACATTTCGAAATAGTGCTTTAGCATAAGGCATTTGGAATCTTCCAACACTACCCCCTATAAAAGACTACTTGCTAACTGAGGATGCACTGTAGCCAGGACAAGGCGTGTCCTGTGTCCTAGCTTATCGCACCTGCAGCGCACACACAATGACCCAGCACTTGTGGGCGGAAGCTCTGTAAGATCTGGCGCAAGGGGGCACGTGTGGCGAAACCCTGCGGCGGCCAGGGCTGCTGGAGAGCTGGCGCCCCTCGTCCCGCAGGCAAGAGGGCGCCCATCCAGGGATGCACCCTGGCCTGCTTTCATCTGGTAGAAAGGGCACAGCCTCTCAAACGATGGACAAGCTGCTCCCAGTCACCGTCCCCTTGGTCCCCGCCTATGCTGTCACTCGGATGAGCTAGAAAGCAGCCAACTCAACTCCCTTTTACACGGAGCCAGACTAGGCAGCCGCCTTCCCTCCTGAACTGTGTCCGACCCCCACCCAGTTCAGGGTCACCCAGTTCAGTTCAGGGGGAGAAGTCGGGAAATCAAAAGGAGGGAGGAGGCCAGGGAGGGAAAGGCAGGCTGGCTTCCGGAGAACAGTTCTGACTGGTGCCCGGGGGCCTTCATTAGACACGAGGACCTTGGTTCAGTCTCCCTTTTCAAGCCTCCGGAAGTGTATCTATTTTATGTTAAAGAACCAAACTGTAGTTCTGTTAGTCCTCTTATCATCTGTTATTTCTGTTTTATTATTCCCTTCCCTGCACATCTTTTTGAGTTTGATGCTTCGCTCATTAATATAAGATTAAAAAAAAAAACATGGATGGGAAAGATATACACCTATTTTAGGATAGTTTTCTTCTAAAAGAAGGGGAAGGAACTTAGAAGAATATTAAAAGACTTGAAATGTATAGGTAATATTTTAATTTTTAAATATTCAGAAGGAAAACCTCAGCCAAAACTAATAAATGCTGAGTACACAAGCTTATGCTACTCTGTGAACTTTTACATAAAAAATTAGTCACTTGCTTGCCCATTAAAAAGATTTGGGTCACTGACTAAAATTAAATCACTAAAACAACCCCAAAGGTCGAATCGGAAGGCAGTGACTCCTGAACTTATCCCCAGCAACGACGACCGGGGAAAAGGGTCACAGAGAAGAGGCTCAAAAGCAGCCTCAGAGCCCTGGCCAGTTTGGCTCAGCGGTTGAGTGTCAGCCTGCGGACCAGAGAGTCCCAGGTTCAGTTCCCGCTAGGGGCATGTACCAAAAAAAAAAAAGAATGCCATTGAAAAGCAGCCTCAGCCTCCTGATACTGTGTCTGCGAAGAGCAGAGGACCCCGAGGTGGGCTTGGACGGATTCGCTAGTGAAAGACCTGGTCCTCAGCTGCCTCTACACCAATGTTCAGCAGGACATGGAGCCACCCGCAGGGAGGCGAGGTGCCCACGAAAGGCGCGTTACCGATGAGCGTGACGGGCATGCCGTACTCCAGGGCTGAGATGGCCGTCCACTTCCCCGTGCCCTTCTGCCCCGCACTGTCCCTGATCTTCGGCAGCAGGGGAGTGCCGTCGCTGTCTTTGAACTTGAGAATATTGGCTGTGATTTCGATCAGGAACGAGTCCAGCTCCGTCTTATTCCATTCCTCAAATGCCTAGGTGCGAGACGTGAGAAACAAGGGTTAGGCAGGGGACCCCCGCGACGGACCCCCGCTCCTCCCGTCAGTACTGACCCACGCTCAACCCGCGACACTCGAGGCTCACGAGCGCTCCACCAGCTGAGGCTGGCGCGACCAGGAGTCCACCGTCTCCTCACCTGGTTATGCCAACGTTCTGACCACCCCCGCTCCCCCACCTCGCTCAGGTGCCCGTACCTGCCACCTCCTCAGATGCCTGCCTTGCCTGCCCGACCTAGATCTACCTGCTACACCCGGGTCCTTTGCTCAGTAACCACTTTAATATTCTGTATTCAACCACTACTGTCCTCCCAGCTTCCTGAGGGCAGGGACTTTAACATCTCATTTCATTCTTTTTTTTTTTTAACTAGTTTTATTTTTATTGATTTTGAGGGGGAGAGAAAAACATTGATGTGAGAGGAAAACATCGACCAGCTGCCTCCTGCACGGCCCCTCCACCCCAGGATCGAGCCGGAACCTGGGCATGTGCCTGACTGGGAATCGAACCAGCAACCTTGTGATGCATGGGACAAGCTCAACCATCTGAGCCACACCCGCCAGGGCAGGACTTTGTTTTTGTTTTTTTTTTACTATTTTATCCCCAACATTCAGATGCCTGGCATACAGTAAAGCACTCGTGTACACACTGAATGAATATAGTAAACACTATGGGAACCAATCAAATATGAACACGAAGAGAAAAGCACTGTTTCTATGAAAACTAAGTTAGACTGTTTTGGAAAGAATAACGGCAAGTCAGTGAAACAAAGTAAGTGGGGATGACACAAACTTAAAGATTAGAAAACGACGTAAAATAACCTAGAATGACTCTGCACTGTGAACTTTAAATCACGTGCCACTTGAAGGAACCGAAACTAGAAATTCTGGATGAAAAGACCGACAGCTAGGATACTAATCGGCAGAGCCTCAGACTTGATTGGTGAACGGAATGTACCTTCCACTATTTTCAATTACAGTAGATGTTTACCTAGTTAAGGACGCTGAAGTATTTTGAGCAAAGACCGCTGCTGCCTGCAGTCTGCTCTGAAACGCACGGAAAACAAGCCCGAACTGACGGAGGAGGACAGACACTGGACAAAGCGAGTGCGGTCAGCATCCGCGGCGGCCGGGTGGTCTGTGGACGAGGGCTCTGTCCCTTGTCCCAGCTCTGTGGCCAGCACCGGACTGCGCCTCCCACGAGGGACAACGGGAGGGTCACAAGACATGCATGTAAAGTGACAGCGCCTGGCACGCAAGGAGGGTCACTGAACGGTGGGGAACTTCTGGCTTAGAGAGTGATCATATTTCGTGGTCCTATAACTGATGGCTTCCCTGCAATTAGGCGGCGTCCATGCAGGCCACCAGAACGACCGAAGGAAAATGAACGAGGGAGGCTTTGCTGTCCCTGCGGGGTGCCAGGGCCCGAGCTCACCTGCGCCATCTCGTTGTGCTCCATGCCCAGGATGTCCTTCATAAGGTGGTAAGCCTCACAGATCAGCTGCATGTCCCCGTACTCGATCCCATTGTGCACCATCTTCACAAAGTGCCCGGCTCCCTCTTCTCCCACCTGTTGGAGCCCAAGCACCCAGAGGCCATCAGACAGAGAACACGACAGAACGGCCCACATCCAATTCTCCAGCAAGACTCCCTCCCTCACAGAAAGTAACAAGCATGAGGCAAATGTTTATAGTATTTTTAAAATAAGAATCAAGCCCTGGCTGGTTTGGCTTAGCGGTTGGAGCATCGGACCGTGGACCAGAGTCGTGAGTTTGATTCCGTTCAAGGGCATGTACCTCGGTTGTAGTTCGATCCCCGGCCCTGGTCAAGGTTGTGTGGGAGGCAACCGATCAATGTGTCTCTCTTACATCGATGTATCTCTCTCCCTCTCCCCTTCCCACTCTATCTGAAGATAAATGGAAAAAATATCCTCAGGTAAGGATTTAAAAAAAAGACTCAATATACAGCAACTCAATGCAAGCTTCAATCCAAGCCCAGTGTTATTTTAAACTAATTCCACATCCACTCCTCCACACGTTTTCAAAACTCCCAAATTCACAGAAAGTACCTAAAGCTCTTTAGCCTACATTTCCGTTCTTTCTCAGTTATTAAAAGCAACTCACTCCCCGCTCCCAGTAAGAGAAGCCGTTCTTTTCCTGAGGTTAGCCCTCCACACTAAGCGGGCTGGCTGAACCACCTGTACTTTGAAAGACTGTGAAGGCACTGGGGCTGTTTCCAAGGGCTTCTGAGAGGTGAAAACGACCTTGGCTCCCACGCCTGGCCCTCGACCTTCTAAGCGCAGAAAGGTATTCTTGCCAAGGTCTCACAGTTGACAAGATACTGATTTTATAACGAAGTCAGGAAGGTGTATAAAATCACAATACAGTTTATGAACTTGTGATGAGATATTTAACCATGGATCTTAGCGGTTGCAAGTATCCGTCGATCAACACGTTCTGTCCCTACGGACAAGCTACTGGGAAGCCCCACTATCTGGAAATTTAGTGGGCAAGGACTCAGAACAAAGGGGTGACGGGCCAAACATTCAACGGACCAGCCTCTGCAGTCCATGATGGGGACACCTGCAGGGGGATCAGATGCCCGGATGGCCGATCAGTCTCCCTCCTGGCAGTCACTGCTTAGATCGACACTACGAACGTTGGCATCAGAGACCTCCTGTGTCTGTTTCCACTGCTGACCAACCCCCTCTGATTTTGACACTTTCTGTGGCCATGAAGTAACATGGTCAATAACATCTTACTCCATCCCATTCTTCCTGTAACTTCAAAATGAACGAAAGGGTCCCTGCTTTTTGTATGAAACTAGTTTTTGTTTTTGTTTTTGGTACATGCTCCTAGCGGCAACCAAACCCGGGGCTCTCTGGTCCGCAGGCCAATGCTCCAACCGCTGAGCCAAACTGGCCAGGGCATGAAACCAGTTTTTCAATACCCTGAGACTAAGCCGTAAAGCTAGGGAACGTCGATCTGACTGGATCAAGATATGTCAAGGCCAGTCCTGTCTTTCTTCCTCCTAACTGTGTGTAAAAAACAGTCCCCGTCACTGTACTTTCATTGCAAGTACTCACTCCACTGTCGGGGAACGATGACGCCCCCTCCCGTCCTTCATACCGATGAGAACACTAGCCGATGCCCTGAATCACAGCCCTGGCCTCTCCAGCCCACAGCGGGAAATGACGGCATCCGAGGACCACTGGTTACGAAGTAAGGACGTCACCAGGCACTGGCAGCCCAGGCGGGAGCGTCCCTCGCCCCGCATACGCCTCAGTCCGTTTCACCTCCACCTCTTACCACGTATAAAGTAAGCCTGATATGGACACAGCACGTGTAAGTGCTGGTATTACATGAAAGGGGATTAGGAGCTACAGAGATCTTGGAGATCATCCAGTCCAACCCCGCATTTTACAGGTGAGAACACTGAATCCAGGTAGGGACGCGACTTGTCTACTGTCACCCAGTCAGTTAATGGGGCGCCAGAACGACGGCCTGGGTCTCCCGAGCCTAGTGCTGTTCCATCCTCGGTCTGGACAGAGGCTGCACAGGGACAGCATTTGCTTTAACGGGAACAGAGTACAGGAAGGAGGGGCACGTGTGCATGAGCCCAGGCCCGGCACGGCCACCCTGCGGCCTACTTTCAAGCACAGAAACCTCCAAGGCCAGCAAACCCCACCTCTGATTTTGACAGTTTCCTCAGCCATGATGACACATAGCTAAAAACCTTACTTCACCCCATCTTTCCTGTTCCTTTTTCTGTTGTTGTTGTTGTTAATCCTCACCCAAGGATATTTCTTCCACTGATCTTTTGTAGAGAGTGGAAAGGAAGGAGGTAGGGAGGGGGTCGGGGGAGAGAGAGACATTAGTATAGAGACACATCGACTGGCTGCCTCCCGCGATCTCCCTGAGGCCGGATGGAACCTACAACCCAGGCACATGCCCGACCGGGGATTGAACCCGAGATCCTTCAGTACCCAGGCTGATGCTCCATCCACCGAGCCACCAGCCAGGGCCTTCCTGTTCCTGTTTTGGGAGTCCATCTTTTAGGAGCTGTGAGGAGGGCCGCTTTTAATACCCCGTCAAGGTGACGAACAGCACATTCAGATACAAGGACGTGAGCGACAGCTCAGGCCAGGACTGAGGCTGCGTGGCACAAAGCCACCGCTGGGACCCAGGTGGCCCCGCCTGGCCACGCCCGTGCCCGTGTTGCCGACCGGTCAGGAGAGGAGCCCGGCACTTGCCCAGTCGCAGCACGGCTCTCCGGTCCCGACTTTGGCAGCGATGCCCTGGAAGACCGTCTTGATGTGGGGCCTGCGGAGAGAGCGCGTGGGTCAGCGGCTGGGGCCTCGGCGAAACACTCCAGGACGCCCCGCACCCCAGTGCTCGCTCTCTCGAATGGGCAGCGGAAGCACCCAGGAAAAAGTAATGAAGTGGCCCTGGCCGGTTTGCTCAGTGGTTAGAGCGTCGGCCTGCGGTCCAGAGAGACCCAGGTTCGGTTCCCACCAGGGCATGTGCCTTGGTTGCAGTTTGTCCCCGGCCCTGGTTGGGTCGTGTGGGTGGCAACCACTCGATGTGTCCCTTTCACATCGATGTTTCTCTCTCTCTCTCTCTCTCTCTCTCCTTCCCACTCTCCCTCCCACTCTATCTGAACAAAAATGAAAAAATGTCCTCGGGTGAGGATAAAAAACAGCAGCGAAGTGCCCAGCGCTCCAGGTGAACGAGGCAGGCGCTGCAGACTGACTTGAGACCAAAAGGCTGGGCGGCAGCATGGTCAGAGCCCGGAGGACTCTCCATCGCCGCAGAGGCTGTGGCTCCCGCAGAGCCCCACGAGTCCCCGCTGTCAGGCAGGACACACGTCACCAGGCCCACAGGGCCCTGCGGCATTCCCAGAACAGCACGGCGCCCCCAGGAGGATGGGACCCCTTCCTGTTCTCCCCACTAGTGACCCACAGATGGCTTCAGTTCTGGGTAAAGACAAAACCTGGCAGGGTGGCAAAGATAACGCAACGCTCAGGACGAGGGAGCCAGGCAGCTGCACCCTAATCCTTAGTCCTTCACTGAACTTCTCCTGTCGGTCAACGGCCCTTCTACCTCGGCCAGACCCCGTGACCCGGAGCACCGGCGCGTCTGTCAGCCCACTGGGCACTACCCCAAGGGACGTGTTCTTAAGCTTTTGAGAGGCAGGAAGGCCTCTGCTTCCAGATTCAACATATGGAAGAGAAGCCCAGATTCACTCCGCAGGGAGGTGCTTTAAACAGAAACCTTCCCCAAGCTCTGGCCGGTTTGGCTCAGCGGTTTGCATCGGCCCGCGGACCAAGGAGTCGTGAGTTCAATTCCGGTCAAGGGTCAAGGCAGCTCGGTCTCCGGCCCTGGTCAGGGTCATGCAGGAGGCAACCAATCGCTGTGTCTCTCTCACATCCATGTCCCTCTCTCTCTCCGTCCCCTCCCACTCTATCTGAGATAAATGGAAAGCTATCCTCGGGTGAGGGTTAAAAAAAAAAATCACAGTAAGGCCCTCCTTACTTTAATGCCTAATGTAATTGCAGAATACTCGGAAGTCAAACTCATTCAGAAAAGGGTACCTTTCCACGTGTCCCTCAGAGGGACCCTTCCTTTTCTACTTCTCCCTGCCGCCCAGGCCGCTGCGGGCGTTCCTGTTCTGCAGTCTCAGCCGCCGGGCCGCGGTCCAAGTCCCGTCTGGAAGCTCCTCGCAGCCTTCCACTTGGCCTCCCACCTTCCACGGCCCGTCTCTTCCATCCCGAGCACCCCCGTGGCCGCCCCTCCTCTCGTTCACAGCGGTGAACAGTATGGAAGCTGGTTTTCCCAAGTCAAATACCGCCCCCTTCATTCCCAGGGACATTAAGGCCCCGCCAGATTTTCCCATCACTCGCCGTTACTAAGTTATTTTGGGAGCGTGCAGTTAGAGGCAGACCGGACTTCTAAATCCGGACAGTGCGCAGGACATCGTCTAAGCTGCTTCCTCGGGGCCTCCAGCCCCTTAGGCCTACCCAGAACTCCCATGACCCGTCTTGGCGAGAATACGGGGGGAAGCAAAGGAGGGATGTGCACATATATTATGTCAAAGCAACAAAAGGTACGGACAAGCTACTTCCAGCCTCCCCCATCGTCAGCACTGTCCCACAGAGGACACCGAGTGGCCGAGTGCTCAGGGCTCACGCACTCTGTGTTCACGCTCCCTTGTGTTAAATGCGGGTGGCACGTCTGCTACTCACCAGGCTTCTTTGTTCCCTCCGGGCATAAGCGACGGGCCATACCGGGCCCCGTCCTCTCCACCACTAACGCCGCTGCCCACAAACAAGATGCCCTTGGCCTTGAGGTCTTGGCAGCGTCTCTGCGCGAGAGGAAAGGAACTCCGTCACGCTTCCTTGAGGTACCTGTCTCCCCCTGAAGGACGGGGTGACAGGATGCAGAGCCAACATGAGTCACGAAATGACCAGGGCCCATGAATAACCTGGTCATGAAAGAAATGTGATTCCCCTCCCTTTGGGAGCTAAAGAAAATCCACGGAAGTTGAAGAGAGCTACCCTGTCCCCAAAGGGCGTCATTATGCCCAACACACACTCTCATGTTCCTGGAAAGGACCTTGTGCGATTAGCCTTGGTCAAGAGCTACTTTAATGCCAGGGCGACTGGCCGCGGCTCAGACTCGAGGCTGTGCGGGGACCTCTCCCAGCAGGAGAGCATCCACGCCTGGGCCTCAGCCACGCTGCACGCGGACGGCACGAGCGTCGGTGGGAGAGGAGGGAAGCCAGCCACAAACTCTCAGCCCGCGCATCCAAGCAGCAGTCACTTGAGTTACACGTGCGACCGATGAGAACCTCCTCCATCAAGCACACCGGAGCGGAACAAAGGCTGAGAATGACCACACCAACCCCCACGCCAGCATCACGGAAGGACAGACCGCTCTTCTGTCACACGTGCAATGCTAATACTTTCCCCAGCGTGTTCTCAGAACCTGGGAGAATGTGGACTGAAGAATACTCACCGTCGTATCCCTGTACTCAGAATTTCCCCCATCAATGATGATGTCACCAGCATCCAACAACGGTACCTGTAACCAGACACCAGCATCAAGGTGGACCACACACAGGAAAGACAAAGATAACAAAATACACCTTCGCCAATTACAACAAACAAGAATTCATCCAAATACACATGATCTAAAAGTATACATTATGTAATTCTCAATAATCCTCTCCCTGGCTAGAGCTAGACCCAATCTCAAAGCTGAGGGCTAGCAAACCCAGCCAGAACTCTCCACAAACGGAAATAATCTTTTTGCCACTCTCCTGCCCCTTCTGCCTGCAGCTCCTCATGGGCAGCTGGGCAGCCTGACACACATGCTGGCTAAGTCCTGCATCAAGGTTCTTCCTTTCAAGGTCACTTTCGTCTTAAAAATGGTAACACTGGTTACAAATTCCTCTCCCTGCAGAAACAACCCAGCGTTAGCTCCAGAGCAGGAATGCCGTCCCCTGCCTTTGTTTATTGTCACTACATTTCCCACGGGACATTTCTTCCCAACGGCACAGGCCCTGGTTTGCTTAGCACTATGACGGCAGAACTGTTTTTCAGTATCCAGATTTCCACTAGTTCCCCTTCATCCATGTGCGTTTTGCCTGAGGGAAAAGCGCCCCAAGGCTGCAGGACACAGCAGTGAGGTTGTCTCCGATTGTTGGGGGAGAGGAAAACCCTCCCAGCGAACACAGGCTGCTCTTTCCCAGAGGTGGGCTGAAGGAGGGGCCTAGAGGCCTCCCAGAAACAGCTTCCAGGAACAGTGCTTCGACCACAAGCTGCCGCTGTCTCCCTCGGCAGCTCCTCTGCCAAAGCCATCCCGGTGAGAGCGTGGCCGGCAGGCCTTCGGTGGGGACACGGTGGGGAACGAATGGACAGCAACGAGCGTGAGATGACTGTGAAGACCACTCACGGGAAAGGGCCCACTATCCCCTAATCCCGGGTGGGGAAAAGCCTCAATGAGGCATCAGACTACAATGTGTTAAAGAAGCAGGTGTAGGCCCAGCCGGTGTGGCTCAGTGGTTGAGCAACGACCCATGCACCAAGAGGTGGCCGGTTCGATTCCCAGTCAGGGGCATGCAGGGGGTGGCCAATCACTGTTCTCTCTCATCGATGTCTCCATCTCTCTCCCTCTCCCTTCCTCGCTCTCTAAAAAAAAAAAAAAAAAAAATAAGAACCAGGCGTAGCACCTACGTGAAACCCACTCCACCTCAGCTGATGACCTGGGACCAAAACGACAGCCGAGGCCTGCCTCCCAGCCCTCCGGGGAACTCAGCACGAGGCACACCCACCCACCTGCCCCAGCACGGCCACCAGTCATATGTGTATTTGTTTTCCTCCAAAAGACACACTTCCTAAAGCCAACAAATGCTTTGGTACAAAAATAAGTACCCAATGTGCAGTTCCTAGGATTCTCTAAGGGGATCTCTTGTCACTTACATTAAACTATACAACGATTTGGGAATTGTTGCTTTAGCAGGTGTGGGAAACCTTTTTCTGTCAAGGGCCATTTGGATGTTTATGACGTCATTCACGGGCCACACAAAATTATCAACTTAAAAATTAGTCTGCTACCTTGGCCGGTTTTGCTCAGTGGTTAGAGCATGGGCCTGCGGTCCAGAGAGACCTGAGTTCGGTTCCCGCTAAGGGCACGTACCTTGGTTGCAGTTTGGCCCCGGCCCTGGTTGGATTGTGCGGGTGGCAGCCACTCGATGTGTCCCTTTCATGTGGATGTTTCTTTCTCTCTCTGTCTCTCCCTCCCACTCTATCTGAACAAAAAATGGAAAAATGACCTCGGGTGAGGATAAAAAAAAATAAGTCTGCTATATTTGCTTAGGCTAATTTGGGGAGGCATGTGACGTTAGCCGGTATTGATTTCGAGGGCCTTATAGACCTGCAAGCCGGATGTTCCCCACTCCTGCTTTACAGGAACACCGAGAAAAATGAAATCTATTTCTAAATTTGCACACTGAGCTTATTAGTGAATAGCACTAAACATTCATACTATACAATCAAAACTAGGTTTTTTCTGAATGTCAAAGGTTGAGACTAAGATTACCATAGTCATGTATCGCCTAACATTTTGGTCAACGACAGACCACATATACCATGATCGTCCTGTAAGATTATAAAGGAGCTGAATAAACCCTATTGCCTACTGATGTTATAGGCATTTTGATCATAGCACAACTCATTAAATCACGTGTTTGTGCAGACACTGGTATAAACAAATTTGTGCTGCCAGTCATATAAAAGTACAGCACATACAATTTTGTACAGTATAAAGTTGATGATAATAAATGACTATGTTACTGGATTGCATATTTACTATACCATACTATTTATTACTGTACTCTTCCTACTCATTAAAAAAGAAGCTTGCTGTAAAAAAGTATGCCGTGTTACACGCCTCATGTAACACGCTCATGCATCTAGCTTCTCTTGATCACAGCCATTTGCTCTTGAGCTTGATTTAATCTCTTGTTGTTTTGTACAGTAACATTCTATAGACTTATAGCCCAGGAGCAACAGGCTCGATCATACAGCACAGGTGTGTAGTAGGCTCCACCAACCAGATTTGTGATGTTTGCACGATGAATTGCCTAACAGTGCCTTTCTCAGAATGTACCCCCATCATTAAGCAGCAGATGACTGTATTGTTTCTACTCTCGTTAATGAATTCTTATCGGAATGTCTCTTGTCCTCAGAATTTTGTAATTATTACCACCTGAGGATATGTTGTTACTTAATTAGTGCCAATTAAGTTAGCCAACACCAAGATATTTAAGCAATTGTTTTGTAAGAACTGAGCAGTTCATATCCAGAAACTGAAGTGGTGGGTGAGTGGGAAGGGGGAAGGGGGACAGGGAAATCTCTTAAGTGAAATCACTAAAGGAAAGAATGAGAAAAGTTCTGTAGCAGCAGCTGGGAGCAGAGCTGGCCTCACCAATTTTTCAATGAAATCATCAACAGCTTGACCAGCCTTCACGAGCAGTATGATCCGCCGAGGCTTCTTCAGCTTGGAGACCATCTCCTCCAAGGAGTGAGCGCCTATCACTTTGGTTCCCTTTGCCTCATTGGCCAAGAACTCATCAACTTTGGAGACTGTCCTATTGAAAGCACAGACCTACAAGGGCAAAAAGCTGATTAGGAGATGTAGGGCATACAAGACCTTCAGACTGTGGACTAAGAGACAATGAAATTTCTACTCAGCCCAAGGTTTTGGGGAGGTTGGACCCTGCCCTTTGCCTTTCTCCACCCAAGCGCTGATTGCTCACTGGAATGTTAATCTTAGTGGATGAGACAGAATACAGGGTAGGGCAAAAATAGGTTTACCGTTGTCCCTATGGAAAGTAATACAATAATTAGTAATACAAGAACAAACTGTGTTTTTCGTACTCACAACAGCACACATACTTTTGCCCCACCTATATAAGCAAAAGTCAACTACCCATGTCTTACCAAGCTGGTCAGAATGCAAATACAGGAATTAGCTGTTTCCAGACTAACACCCTTTGTCGCTGATGATCCTTGTATCTAAGCCTGTTTAATACTCACACCTAAACTTTTCACTATCCCCAGACCTCCTTAGACGATAAAGTTAGAGTTCTACATACCCAGCAAGATTTCTCAAGACACTGATAGGTTTCTTTAGGTCACAAACCTTACAGAACTGACAGATACATTTAGCAGGACTCTTCTTCCTCAGAGAACTGTGATATTAGCCCTCCCACACCCACATGTCAAGTGGTGCTTCTCCCTCCTTTACAAAACTGTCAGAAGCACCCACAGAGCATAGGTACCCTCCAGGTTATATGGGACCTTTGAAATCAGCAAATCGGCAGCACTGGGGCTAAGGCACACCAAGAACCCATAAGTGTCCCTTGTGACTTACCACAAAGCCGTGGTCATTCATGTTCAAAATTAAGTTCTGGCCCATGACAGCCAGTCCAATCAGTGCAATATCAGCTCTGAAAGACCAGAAAAGGGAACAAAGGGAAATGTGTCATCTCCACTTAATCCACTCCAACTCAGGGACCCAGTTTTCCAGCGTTGGCTACGATAAATAACTTGTCTTAACGTCTCTGGCCCCCTACTCCCTTCTACACGTTAGAACCCCGGCACGCCACCTTCCTTGAAACTACCGGCAGACCTCCCCCGACTCCAGCTCTGCAAGGGGCCTCAAGCCCTCTCGGGATCCGCTGAACAGGCACGCAGGAGGATCTCCCAGCGTGCAAGCTCTAGTCTATCAGGAAATGACTGTTCCAGGGTCCCCGTCTCCCACAGAGGGAAGAACCCCTGCAGGCGGAGCCGCGGCCGTGCAGCCCCCTCCCCTCCGGATCGGGCCCTGCTTTCCCTTGGCCATGCCTGCCCCCGACCCCGGGCCCCTTCTAGCAATGGGATCCTCCCGGCGCCTGCGCGTTGCGAGGAGCAGAGGGCTGGGTCCCAGGGAAATGCGAGGCTGCAGGGCAGGCTCCGGATCCGGGGAGTTCGGGGGCCCGAGCGGGAGGAAGCTGAGACCCCGGAGGCCCGGGGCTCTGGGCGCCACGAGGCAGGGCTCAGGCGACCCCGGTGCCGAGGCGACGTCGGGGGCGGCTCCGCCCTTCGAGCCGACTCGGAAAGTTCCCCGGCCGCCGCGGGCCGTCACTCACTGAGCCATGGCGACGGCGGCGGCGGACCCGGCTGGAGCGCAGAGCGGAGAGGAGGGGACGCAGGCACCAGCGACCCAGGTTGAATGGGGCTGTGGCCTGCCTCCCGAGGCCCTGGCCGGGTCTTTCCGGCACTAGCCAATCGGAAGGAAGGGGTGGAGCTATGGAGACACACCATTGGCCCTCCCTGGCGCCTGTTACACCACCTGAGGCAACGGGCACGCCCACTCCCGGGGCCGACTCAGGAGAGTGCCGAGCGCATCGATGACATCGTCCAGGGTGCGCCCCGAACGGCAGAGGGCTGGGTGCGTCCTGACAGCCGGTGGGGGCTGGGCGCGGGGACAGGCGGAGGGGACTGGATGGAGCCACTCGGGGGACACCCAGGGCCGGGGCTCTGCTCTGCAGCTCCGTGCGGGATGGTGTTTCAGGTTGGGCTGCCCTTTCCAGTTTTCCAATCACCGGGATGTCTGCTGTCCGAGTGTCCATCATTCCTTCCTCCCCTCGCTGCCGAACACGTGGGGCTTCCGCATCGTACGCTCAACTCCGGGCAGGGACCCAGGTTTTACTTTTTTTGCATCTGATCAAGTGTAAGGGGTGCAGGAAAGCTGGGCCTCACACGATCGTGTGTGGGAGACTGGCCCGTTTTTGCAGGGGAAGAAACAGGCGCAGAGGGCCGGCGGGGAATGGACTTCCTGGGAGTGTGATGGCTGGGCTAGGAGATACTGTCGCTGAACCCCTTCCTGCACAGCTGAGGAACCAGAGGCCGAGTGAGGGGGAACCCTCGGTCCAGGGCATTATAAATACCATGTCCTTCATGCCTTCTCTAACGTCTCCCGGTGCCAGGCATCTTGACCTCACCACTGAACCCTGCCATCTCCAGCAGATGATTGGGAAGGAGGCTTAGCTCCAGCAGTACTTTTTAGGATTTTTTTTTTGCTTCGTATCACCTAACAGTTGCTCACACATAATTCGTGCTCAACAGATGTTCAATTACAAAAGTCACACAGCTAGTTAATGCCAGTTAGTGGCCCAGCTGTGACTGACTCAAGGAGCCTGCGCAGTGGGTGCTATTTCTATCACACTAATTGCAGAGATTACTTTGTCATATAGGTTTTAACAGATACTCCTATGTTAGCAAATGTCCCACTATGGCAGTTTTGTCCTATTAGTAGTTAGGCATCAAATCATAGTAACAATATTTTTTAATGCAATAATGGAATGTTACCCTGAAATTTCAAAATGTCACAATCTACTTTATCTTGTATGTAAATATTTTCTCGTTAGATTTTCTTCGCTAGAGAGTCTTTATATGAACTTGTCCTTTTCCTTGCGTTGCTTCCATATTTGTCTGGTCTGTGCCAGCCAGGCCTCACACTCCTTTTCTTTTTCTCTCTCCCATATCCTGGTATAGGGATCATGGACTGTGGCTGACTCACTGTACAGACTTCCAGGTGGGGCTAAGGTTAGAACAGAACTTCCTCCTGAGGGGAAGAGAGGTCCTTGTCTTTGGGGTCCTTTTCTGAATTTATTCTTGCTTTGACTGGATGCAGAAAGAGAGTTGTAAGCAAACCCAGAATTTATTCTTAAAGCTACACACAAAGTGCTTCCCTGAGTGGGGAGAGGAGTGACTACAAAGATGATGAACAGGTAATCTAGGCAACCCAGGGTGAGTGAAGTAGCTTCATCACTGCCCGGCAAAAGCCCTGCACTGAGACCTGGGTCTGAATCCCAGCTCTGCCACAGCAGGTGAAAATAATAGTCGGCTCAGCTGAACCAGGCTGGCAGGAATCGTGAGCTCTCCCAGCCAGTGTCCCCAAACGAATGGGTAAGGAAGCTTGTGAAATGTGAATTTTGATACCACAGGTCTGGCACAGACCAGAAAACCTACATTTTATAGGACCCCCAGGTGATTCTGATTGGGGGTGGTCTATTTTTTTTTTTTTGGATCACCTTTGGAAACAATTCACAAAGGGTGGTCTGGGGCCCCTGGAGGTCCCTGAGACCCTCCTTTCAGGGGGAAGTGGGCACAAAACTATTTCCAGTTTTCATTCATATTTTCCTTTTTCATTCTCATTCCCTCACAAGTGTTCAATGTCTTCCAGAGGCTCCGTGATATGAAAGAGATGAACTGTGGGGGCAGATAGGCGGATCCAGTCTGTGTAAACTGCCTTGAGCCAGACATTAGATTTGCAAAATTGTCTAAAACACCACTGATCTCACTCAGTTTCCTTTTGTTTTGGGAAACCGTTATTCAAAAGTTTGTTTTAATTCTTTAAACGGTATATATAGATGTAACTCCCATAAACAAACGCTCTTGGGGTCTGCAATAATTTTTAAGAGTGTAAAGGGTCCTGAGACCAACCGGTCTGAGAACTACTGATCTAGCCACGCTCGTGTTTTGGAGCTGAGGAAACGGGCTCTGTGAGCCCAGACTTGCTGAGTCACATAGCGAGGCTCCAGAACCGCCCCTCTGAGGACGGATTAGATGCTGTCCAAAGTCCCTCACAATAAAACGTGGGGTTCAGACACAGCCTGGGTGGTAGGACGGCATGTTATCAAGTCGGATCAGATGGCTTCACAAATTATCTGGAACATCTTCCCTGGAAGCGCCTGAGAGAGGGAAGAAATGAGTTTTGTTGTTGCACTGACCTTAGCCGGCTTCAGTTTCATTTCTTTCTAGTTGTGCAATTTGGGGCAAGTTACTGGATTTCAGAATTTCCTTATGTGGAAAACCAAGTCTCACAGGGTAGCTCTAGGGTTCAAGGAAACAAATGGAAGCTTGTGTCTGGTACTTAGTACCCATATACTAGTTTCTCTATTTTTATTTATTTTTTAAATAATTTTATTGATTTTGAGAGAGAGAGAAACATCGATGTGAGAAAGAAACATCTATCGGCTGCCTCCTGCACATCCCCTACTGGGGATCGAGCCTCAACCCGGGCATGCGCCCTGACTGGGAATCGAACCAGGACCTCATTCCATAGGACGACGCTCAATCCACTGAGCCACACCGGCCAGGCTAGTTTCTGTCTTCTTAGTGGAAAGGACTCGGGAGACATAACTGAAGTGGAAAATAGGACTGAATCAAGCAATTGCTCCTAGGCTTCCTTGTGAAACCCGGAGAAGGCAGACAAGCACCTCTGCAGCTTCCTGCAAAGCAAGAGTCTCATCATTCCAGCTAAGACTGGTGTGGAAATGGTCCATTAATTGAGTTGTTTGCTATAGAAAATATTCCCATTTGACAATGACGTAGCCATGAATTTTGCAGTATCTTCCTAATCCAAACACACATCATCCCAAGTGTCTTCCCCTCTTCCCCATGCCCATTACCTTCTGTTCTGCACCCCTCCTGGGTGCCCTAAATAGGGGGCACCAGCACACCCTATTAAAAATACCCCCCCTAAGTGCATCTCAGTACGTCTGGGAACATGCACCTCAGTCTGAGCTTAAGTCCATGGGGCTGACCAGTGTGACTTGTATTTCTTGTAGGGCAGATGTGCCAGCATTTCTCTCGATGTTATTTTTGTTTGTTTTAAATCAGGGAATGTCTTTATTTTGCCCTTATTTTTGAAATATGGTTCTGCTGGATAAAAACATTCTTGGTTGACAGTTTTTTCTTTCAGCACCTTGAGTATCTCATTTCAGTGGCTATGGCTTTCACTGTTTCTGATGAGTAGTCAAACTAACCACACTGTCGTGCTCCAGCACATGCTGTACTGTTTCTCTCGCTGTTTGGAAAACTGTCCCTTTGGTTTCCAGCAGCTTATGAGGTGTCTAGGTGTGGATCTCTTTGTGGTTATCCCTGTGGGGTTCACAGTCAGAACTGTAAATCAGTGTCCTTCAACACATTTAGAAGTTTTGTGGTTTTTTTTGGTAAATCCTCACCTGGGGATATTTTTCCATTTATTTTCAGACAGAGTGGGAGGGAGGAGGAGAGGGAGAGAGGGAGGGAAAGAGGGAGAGAGATCAATTGGTTGCCTCCCACGCGACCCTGACCAGGCCTGGAGGTCAAACCGAAACCCAAGTATGTGCCCTTGACCAGAATCGAACCCGAGACTCTTTGGTCTTCGGGTCGATGCTCTAACCACTGAGCAAACTGGCCAGGGCTTAGCCATTAGTTCTTAAAATAATTTTTTCTGGCCTTCCTTTCTTTCCTCTCCTGTAGAACTCTCACTTCACATATGCTGGTACTCTGTTCAGATTTTTTATTCTTATGCTTGTTTTTAGCTTGGCTTCCTCAGCGTTGCCCGGTGTCTCCTTAACTTAGTTGCCAGCCAATGACTTGGGAATGCTGCGTGCAGACACCTGGGCCTTGTGTCTGTGTGTGCACTGGGAACTGCCTTCACAGCGCACCCGCCTGTCTAGCTTTCCTGGGGTTACTCTCGGCCGGGCTTTCCGAGCCTCCCCTGCACACGGACAGCTTCCATCAGCCAGGGGTGTGTTGAGGGCTTCTCTAGTCCCTCGGCGCTCTCGTTTCCCACGGGTCCGCTGCCCGGCTGAGACCTCAGGCTAGCAAGCTGCAGATTCCTACCATTCATTTCTCACCAAGGTTGCCAGTTGTAGCCAACAGAAAAGCTACACGTCTCCTCCCCTCCCGGCCCCCTAAGCAAAGCCCTGAGCGGTTAAAACAACTTTTCTTACCAGCAGAGAGGAGGCGGAATGGGGAGCAGTCCCGAGCAAGAAGGCTGCAGGCTTCTACTGCTCTTACCTGAAAGTCTAGTAGTTTTTTCTCCCCAGAATAAAAGGTTTTTAATTTGCCTGCTTTTGATCCATTTCAAGAGCCTTAAAACGTTTTTAGTAATTTTTTCCAATTTTATGCTTTCTTATTTTTTGCAGTGAGCATTCCCTATTCTCTTTGTATTGCCCTAGTCACCCCCCACCCCCCACAGCACAGTCCTTTTGTCTGCAGTAAGAGCCTCACCGAGTCCAGCAGGGCGGGGTCGGGGTCTGGGGACTTGAACTGAAGGCACCGACCACGGGGCACAGTGAGCTGGATGCTGAGCTGGGTGCTGCCTCCCCTGGCATCCCTCTTCCACAGGCTGGCTTCAGCACAGCCTCGGAGCAAGGGTCAGAGCCGGAAGTGGCTTCAGAAAGGACAAGGGGACCACCCCAAGCCCCTGCCCTTCTCTAGGGGCTGAATCTGCAGGCTCCTTGGGTGCAGGGGGTCCTCCTCCTGTCCATCCCGCCTCCTTCCCCGTGTCAAAATGACCTAACGCTTGTAAGCTTCACATTGCTATACCGTTCTAAGATGTCATTATTATTACCTAATGTGAAAAGAAACTCAGCTCAGGGAAGTTGACTTTCTCAGCCAGCCAGCGGCAGAAGTGAACTTTAGCCCAGGTCTCCGAGGGCCAGCCCACCCTTCTGTCCTGCCCGTATTAGCAGGCCGTCAGCATGCGAACTCACGTACATTTCCCCCGGGAAGGTGGGTACAGCTGTGTATTACAGATGTGTAGTTGCTTTAAATGGAGAGCTAAACTAGTATTAACTTTCAATGACTAGTTTTGAACAGTACTTGTAGAAATTTTAGAGAGCCGACTTTACACAACAGCTCCCTTCAAGAGAGCCTCTCACACCTTTCAACTTTGTTGCAACTGCTTCCTCTTTCTGTGGGTTGGGTTATAAGGAAGCCAACTATCAGATATGTTGCAGAACAAATTGATTGCTCTAGTCTGAGATTTGTCAAGGGAGAAGTTATGCTGAGTCAATGTGACTAAACATCTGGACACACCCTAGTTACTATGAAATAGGCTTCTTTTTTTTTTTTATCCTCACCCAAGGACATTTTTCGATATTTTGTTCAGATAGAGTGGGAGGGAGAGAGAGAGAGAAACATCGACGGGAAAGGGACACATCAAGTGGCTGCCACCCTCACGACCCAACCAGGGCCAGGGACAAACTGCAACCGAGGTATGTGCCTTAGTGGGAACCGAGCCCGGGTCTCTCTGGACCGCAGGCCGACGCTCTAACCGCTGAGCCAAACCGGCCAGGACTTAAATAGGCTTCTTTTAAGGCAGATGTATAAATTCTAATCAAACAGCCATAATTTTTTTTCTTCTATTACGAATGTTACATGCTACATAGCCTTCTTACTTCTTTGTTAAGGAGCTAACGACCAGCAAAAATTGCTGCTTCCCAAGACTGTTGGAAAACTACAGCAGCCTGGATTCAGGAGAGCAAGGCTGGGACAAAGGCCAGTACCCCTTGTCATGTCCCTCAGCCCCCATGGACACAGTAAAGCCAGGGCTTGCTGGAGTTAGAGCTTCATGCTGACCTTTAGTTTTTAGAAAATCCTCAAATGCTTGGCTTATAATGCTTAAAGTCAACTCACACTACTGTTCACCTAACAACATTTGGCCTTGCCTTAATTCCCCAAATCCCAACTCAAAGCACGGGCAGAGAGTCTACAAAAACAGCCCTTCTCTGCAAACATCCCAGGGCTGAATCCTTTGTTTGACTTACATAAGAGGGTGTGTAACATACTAGTTGGGGCAGATTTGAAAATCCCAACTCTGCCACTCACTTGGTGTATAATTCCTGCAACTGAATTCAAACGACTTCTTCACATGCAAGGTAGAAGAGCAAATTTTGTAAAAACCCAAAGACCACACATTCTTAAGCCAGATAAACGTGTGATGCGCTCAGAAAAGCTAAAAATTTAGGACTGTGCAGAGACAGTCCTAAGGGAAAGTGGAAAAATCTCTCCACTCAGTCAAAAATGGAATGACAAGAAAATCAGATAGAAAAGCAATGAGTGAAATGTGCACCGTTCCCTGGGACCTCCTGACATTCTACAGTATCAACTTTGCAAAAGGCATGGTGACTCAGAGAGCGACCCTAAGTGAGGGACCAAACCTCCAGTTACAGCTTCATAAAAACTAATTCTGTTTAGGTCCTGGCCAGGTAGCTCAGCTAGTTAGAACGTCATCCTGACACGCCCAAGTTTCAGGTTCGATCCCCAGTCAGGGCACATACAAGAATCAACCAGCGAATGCACACATGAGTAGAACAACAAGTTGATGGTTCTCTTTTCTCTTGCTTTTCCTCTCTAAAAATCAATTAAAAAAAAACAAACAAAATAGATTCAGTTTAAATGAAAAGCCCAGTGGACGCCCTGGCCGGTTTGGCTCAGCGGTTAGCGCGTTGGCCTGCGGACCAGAATCCCAGGTTCAATTCAGGTCAAGGGGCATGTACCTCAGTTGTGGTTCGTCCCGGCCCTAGTGGGGTCGTGCGGGAGGCAACCAGTCGGTGTGTCTCTCTCATATAGATGTTTCCCCACCCATTTCCCTCCCTCCCACTCTATCTGATGATAAATGGAAAACATCCTGGGGTGAGGATGAAAAGAAAAGCCCGGTGGAATGACCTGCCCCAGACCAGCCAGTCCCCGAGAAGGCGAGAAGGCGAGAAGGCGAGAAGGCGATGCTCCGGAGACAGCTACACTCCCATCAGGGCGGGCGGCTGCCGCCCACTGCGGTGCGTCCTGGCGTTGGGGGAAACCGCAGTGCTCCCTGAGGGTCAGGACCTACCTCTCCAGGGCGTGTGGGCCCCATCCCACCGTCCTCCTCAAAGGGGCCACTCCTTTCCTGAGGTCAGGTCTCCCAGTTCCTTCAGTCCAGTCAGCACACGTGCTGGGCTAGCTCCTCCCACAAACCCTCTCCTTGACCCCGTGTCTCCTTCTCTTCTCCCCTCGACAGCAAAAACCTCTGAAAAAAAGATCTGTACGCATTCTTTCAGCCTCCTCTCTGTTCTCCCGGGGACCCACTCCAGCTGGTTGTCTTCAGTTCCACTGGGGAAAATGCTCTGCTCCCCGACTCCCTGCTGGGGCACAGGCACTGCCGGTGGCTCCTCCCACACGGAGTGAGCTCCCCCACTGGAACATTCCTGGTCTGTCAGCTTCCCACAGACCCCCAGGAGGGCAAGGGTGGTCCTGGGAATTTGGAAGGAGCCCCGGAGCATGGGCAGCCGCCACTTCCGCCCTCTGGGAGGCCCTGGGCTGCCTCCAGCCACATACTCTGCTGTGCCTCTGTCCTGCTGCTACTCAGAGTGGCAGCACAGACGTCACATGGAAGCTTAGGAGGGATGGAGAGTCTCAGGCCCACCGCGGGCCTGCTCCTGCAGTCTGCTGCCATCCCTGATGAGTCTGGTGCACATTCAAGTGCGAGGAGCGCTGCTCCCAACCCTCTGCATCCGGGCTTCGGGCTTCGGTGTCAGGAAACATGTATCCACCGAGGGCGCCACATTCTCCAACCACACGTGTAACAGTGACAAAGGTGCTGTTCTGATCTCCCACCTGCCTCACTCTTCCTTGGGCGGCTCTGGATGTGGGAGAAGGCGGCGCCCACTGGCTCCCTCGCACCTCCCAGACCCCTATTCTCGAGGCCTGCCAGCCGCAGCGGGCACAGCCGGCCCTACCCGACCTGCCAGCCGCAGCGGGCACAGCCGGCCCTACCCGACCTGCCAGCCGCAGCGGGCACAGCTAGCACTTCCTCCCCGGCGAGCGCTTCCTGACTGGGTTGCCCGGCTCTCTGGCTCCGCAGGCCACTCCATCCTCGCTGTGTGTCCTCCTTCTGACCAAGTCATGGTCCTCGCCAGCTACACTCGCCAGGTCTACTCACCATCACGTCAGCTGTCACCCGCAGGCCGGCCACTGCCAAATGTATGTCTCCAGCCCCAACCTCTACCCCGAGTCCTGTACCCAGCGGCCTCACTGACTACACGTTCAGGTGGGAACGTTGGTATCTCAACGTGAACATGACCAAAATCAGATTCGACTTCAGCACCAGCCCGGAGACTGCCCCGGGCGCTTTCTGCTCAGCCCGCATCCTGAGCGACCTTTCTCCTTCCGACTCCACGTGCAGCTCCGCAGCCAACTGTTAGCTCTAACGTTGAACGTGTCCTGAGCCCTGGCCGGTCTGGCTCAGTGTTAGGGCGTCGGCCCGCGGACCAATGGGTCGCGGGTTCGATTCTGGTCAAGGGCACGTACTTTGGTTGTGGTTCGTCCCCAGCCCCGGTTGGGGTCATGCGGGAGGCAGCCTTTTTATGTGTCCCTTTCATGTCGATGTTTCTTTCTCTGTCTCTTCCTCTCCCTCCCTTCCACTCTATCTGAACAGAAAAAGGAGAAATGTCCTTGGGTGAGGATAAAAAATAAGCATGTCCTGAATGCGACCACTTCTCCCCGCCTCTGCTGCTCGCACTTGGTCCCAGCTGCCACCCTTTCCCTGGATTATTGGGGAACGATGTCCTTGTTTGTCTCCCTTCTTGCACTTGCCCCCTATCCTTCTCTGCCCGCCCCCCCAACTATTTTCCCCTCTATAGTCAGAATGGCCTTTTAAAAACACATGTAGTCACACACCGCGACGGACTTCTAGGTAATGACGGACCCACTACAACATGGTCTGCCAGGAGCCTAGGTGCCTGGGTCACCCAGGTCAGTGTGGGTGCACTCCATGATGTCCGTGCAAGATCATCTAATGACACGTTTCTTGGGCTGCATTCCCATCGTTAAACGACACATGACTTATAAGGTCATGTCATCATCTCAAAACCTTTCATTGACTCCCTACTTCCCTAATGAAATGAGAATCACCTGAGCCTACGCCACCTGAGTCCTAGCTCCTTTCTGACTGCACGACTCCAGTGCTCTGTCCAAGCAGGTCTCCTTGCTATTTTTGAAACCTACACAGAACACTGTTGTCTTAAGGGCTCGATTTCTCTGCTTGGAGACCTCTTTGCCTGGGAACTTGCATGGCCTACCCATTCCTTCATTCCGGAGTCAGTGCAAATGTCTTCCCCTAAGAGAGGCCTTCCCTGACTGCTTTATTTTGCTCTGGGATACTTGACACTTGACATAACTTGTGTAAGGAATGTCCTTCCCACTCAAACGGGAAGGCCACATCAGCATCTGGACGGCACCAGGACAGGTGGACACTGGGATGTGTGTTGTGAGAATCATTGCTTTTTGCCTGAATGCTGGTCCCTCTTCCTTCTTGTTTCTCCCCAAACAGCCAGGATGGTGATCCCAGCTCAAGCTCTGCTCAACAACAGGAGCTTGTTAAATTAAGCCGACATGGTGACATTTTCAACCCCACCCCAATGCAGAATCACTACAGAATCATTGGTAGGTATATCAAGAAAGGCTTTGGGGTGAGGGGAGTGAGGGAGACAAATCTTCTATCTAAAATGGCCACTGCTTGGGAAGAAAGTATTTTCAAAGAAACAGCACCTCATTAGCTCTCCTGGTCATACAGTGACTGCAGTGCTGAATGATCCGAAAGAACAGGTAGGCCATGGCATCGTGACTTTTGTCCTGGAATAGTAGTATCTTCTTCACAAGTCAAGAAAAGTCTCTGTGTAAATATCACTTACAGCGTGAACAACAAATGCACGTGGAGAGCCCTCTGATGCACTGGTTGTACCTTTATTATTTGACCTCGTTCACTAATAGTTCCGTGATGCAAGGTTACCATACACAGTTAGATAATGTCTGCATTGCACATCTAAGGCTATACAGCAAAAGAACCAGAATTAGTACAAATACGAGAACTATATTTACATTCTGTATACCCAAGCTCCAAACATCAGATAATATTTACATAATAAAACATGAAAATGAAAATCTGAAATTAATAATGTACATCCATTGTTGTTATGTGCTCAACTCCTTCACTGGGGAGAGATCAGTTTGCAAAGTCCTGGTTCAAAAAGGCCACTTATGTCCATGGGTTTTGTTGTAGTGCTCAAGGGTGGGACACAAGACTTGACATCTCAACGAACAAGTGCTTTAGAGCCACAAAGTCTAAGACGATGCCTCCGGCGTGAGAAGGCTGAGGAGTCCTCAGGTGAACTGATGCCAGAAACGCAGCATGAAAAAGGAACTCGAAGACATGAAAACAGCACAGGACAGCCAGGGTTTGGCAAGAGACCAACCTCAGCTCAGACTTCCCATCTGAGCAGAGCCATTTGGCTGTGAGTTTTTAACATGAAATTTGGATCATCTCTAATTTCTTCCCTGCAATGATTAGAGGCTTTCATAAGATTTTATGGGGCTCGAATACGAATTTCATAAATGGCCTTTTGAACAGCAAAAGCAGATAATCTCTCAGCTGATATTTTAATTCTAAGGAAACACAAATCAATACATGCCTACCTCATACAGTAAGAGTTTGGCCACACACATGGCTGAGTCGTTGTTGGCCACAGTGGACAGCTGCAGTACACAAGTTAGAGTCCTGTTTGATACATTCGGCACACCTTCTGAGAGCAGCAGCAGAATTAGAATTTCTTAAAGGAGCAGGTTAACAATCACATTTTAAAAAGGGAACCAAACGGAAAAATGAAGGACCCAAGTCAAACAAACAAACAAACAAGCCCTGACACTGTCTAGGAGAACCCAAGGGGAACAGCACGAGGTTGCCGAGTACCCACAGGTGCGACACGCTAGGTCATCCTTTCTTTTCCAGTCCAATGTGCAATTAATCACAGCTGTATAAATATACAAAAACCTTACAAAATTAAATATCCCTGTAAATTAGAGAACAAGCAGCAGGCAACAAAGTCTTTGCTTTGAAATATGTACCAGGAGGTCATTGTATTTTTAGATCCCAAAAGACCTTTCACAATGACTTAATTTATTCCTTCATCTTAAAAGAGCTGGAAACTATCAAAAATATGAATCTGTGTAAGTTCTACGGAGCCGGAGGGAAAGAGATATATAAAATAACAGTGGTTTCCTAGCTGGGAAAAATCGTTTTCCCTTGCCATCACCCCGTTTTAACAGCGCACTGGAATTTAGGTGCCCGCCGGCTGCCAGAGCAGCCCTTCCCTGCGCTCCTGGCTGTGTGCAGAGGCTGGCTGGCCCCGCCCACCGGCCTGAGAGCTGGCTGACCCCCAGGCAGGTGCAGGATGGTGTGAGCACTGGTTTGGTGCGGGTGGTGAGGCCATATTTTGCTTTGGCAGGAGAAAGGAGGATGGGGAAGGAGGGGAGCAGACCATTACTTCTAACTAGCATCCATTTCTCCTTAGTTTGTGTAAGAGTTTCCTTCATGCTTTTTGTTTGCTTGTTTAAAGGAGTGATTTAGGGAAAAAGAAATTTAAAAACCGTCAAAAGGTGGTTTCCTTAAAAGGTTAGGTTCATTCCTTAACTTTCCTGCCGCGACGGCTTCATTGAAGCCTCGTGAAGAGCTCCTGTCATAAACCCTCTCTGGGAGTCAAACTGGGAACAAACCGTCCAGAAAGGAACACCAACCCTGAAACTGTTCCAACTCCGATCTGAAGACGGACCCCTAGAGAAAGAGGGGGTACAACAGGGGCTGTCTACCTGTCAGAGCAGCAGAGGCCCGCAGACGGGGAAAGCACACCTGCCAGAGACCCCGCGTCCTCATGAGGCCTTCCCACCTGGCATGTTGTGAACAGTCCGGTCCAGCCTGTTCTAACAGCTGACACTTCCAAAGCAAAGACTTTCCAGGCCAGTTTTGACTGAGTTAGAAGAAACAAAGTCATTTCAGTGTATCGCAGGATTTTCTCTCAGTCTTCCCCACCTCCAATCAGACAGACATGGATCCTTCCATCAAACTTTGTTAGCAGCAGCAGCATCCACAATTTAATTCTAAAAGCAACCTTCAAATTCATTTCCCTGAAATCAGATTCATTTCCAGCCCAGGAAGCTGTCTTTAAACACCGACAGGTCCTGGCTTTGAGTACACACCAGAAGGGCATGTGGTGTCCATTAGACAATGCAGAAACCTCTAACTACATTAAAAATATCGTTTAGAAAAACTAGTAACATTACTATTAGTGACCTATATTTTAAGGAGAAGAAGTTAGTTTTAAAAATCTAGAGTTCTGATCGCCCACTTTTCAGACAAGGTCGCAGCCCGTGTTCCCACGCTAGCTCACACGAAGCTCTCCAAGGCCCTCGCCTCCTCTCGGCAAGGCAATCACAGGAGTGCAGCTGGGAGCCCGCCCTGCCATGAGCCCAACCCGGATGGGGAGGAAACAGTCTGGGTGATGATGAGCCTGCCCAGCAACTACCCTGCAGAGAGTGCACAACCCTCCAGCTCCCTAGCACCTGAGAGTCAGCAAGCTCAAGGCTGAGGACCCTCAGTCTCCACAAAGTGGGAACAAGCAGATCCTATCCTGAATGCCCGAGGGAAGATGGTCAAACAGAGAGGTCTGAGCAAGTGAGGTAAAGGATGATATCAAACAACCACTCAACTAACTGCAGAGTCAACTAACTGTGAAGCCATTCGAAGGAGCCAGGAGGCCTTTGCCCTCCGTGGCCCTCTGGGGGACTCGCTGGCGGCGGAGACAGTGTCTTCGGGTTTGGCCTCCGGAAGCAGCTGGCCTACTCTGTCAGGAGACGGCCAGCTTCCTCCTTTCTCCCCGGCAACATTTCCACGCCCGATGGAGAGGGGCAAGGGGAGGCCTCTCTTCTCTGCCCCCACATGTCCTTTTGTTCTGATCTCAGTGCTGGAAGGCAGCGGGGTTTAACCCTAGGATCCAGAAAGCAAAGCCTGCCATGTTTGCTTATTTGTGAGTATGGGGCACAGGCGTCACTGAAAGTATTTTCAGTGGATGATTGAAAATAACCACTGGATTCAGAAGAGACTTCCAAGTTTATGCCTGAAAGCTACATTTCCTTGATCAAAAGGAGCTACAACACTTATAAGGTCATTACCCAGCATTACACAATGACCATCAAGTTCCTCATCAGAAAGGGAAACACTCCCCCTTGTGGGACGTTTGTGTATGACATCTCACTGATTCCAAACTGTTTCACCATCACCAATGCCAAGGACAGGACTGAGAAACGGAGAGAAGAGGCTCCCCTCCCAGCTGTGAAGCACGATTCACAGGAACCCTGCTCTGAGCCACCACAAGCACCCTGTACTGACCGTCCCCACCCATGGCCCACCACCGATATCCTTGGCTCGTCCCTCGGACAAGGTCAGCAGTGGCTACTCTCTGGGGCCTGCTGAGAACCTCTCCCCTCCTCTCTTCCACTAACTGGAGGCTGCATAACCATGTTCTTACTGAGCCTCGATTTCAGGGACTACACCTGTCCCATTGCTGAGCTAACCACAACCTTCTCCCTGAATGGAAAATGCAGGGGTTAGTGATGGAAAAAAGCAACAGAAGAAAAAAGGCAAGTTTTTTCCTCTCAAGTTCTAAAAAGGCCAGATGTCTCCTCCCTTTGTCTCTAAGCCACCCAAGAAAAATTAAAGTGATATCACAAACAGAGAAAAGAAAAAAATAGATATGTTTCATCTTGAAAAAAGACACAGATGCCCGAAGACAGCAGTACAGACATCAGAGGTGGTCACAATGGGGAGCTGTCATACAAAAGGAAGCCAAAATATACCAAAAATAATTTGGAGATTCACTGGATTTACCTCTGGGTTTTTGTTTTTTGTTTTTGTTTTTCCCCTTTTGTTAGGCCACATGCTACTAACAAGATTCTCAGCACAGGAAAAAGAAAGAGAGTACAGAGCAATGGAGATGGGAACAGGAGCTAGAAAAAGTGCTGGACAAGAGGGAAAAGTAGTTAAGCCACAGGATTGCATACAAGAGTAACCGTCAAGAATCACAAAGAGAAATGAGAGGTAACATTTCCTTTATCTCTGGGAAGTCAGTGAGGGTGCTCAGGGAGTCCTTAGTACTTCGGCTGGCTGGGGCATCTGCGGGAGAGTTTGGACCTACGGGCGACATACAGAGAGGCGGGTTAGAAAACTGGGTTCAGATGTTCCTCCCTCACAGGTCTCTTCCCCCGTAGTTCCCTCCTTGGACTTCTTCCTAAACTGCACCGCAGGCCCAGGTCTCCAGGCTCCCTGAACAAACAGGCTGGGCTGTGGTCTTCCCGGCCGGGGCCCTGGAACAGAAGCCCCTCCTGGGATGTGAGTCTGGATCATAGTGTTGACTACTGATTGACAGACCATTAAGGGCCTCACACCTTCCCTTAGTCCCACAGACCCTGGCTGCAGATCCCTTGAGAACAAAAAGTCAAAGCAGGACATCAACTGAATGGAAATGTGACCAGTCTCCTCAGCTGCTCAGGACACCAGATGACAGCTTATGAGAAGCTGAGGCCTCATCACCACCCTACAACCACACTTACACCCCTGTCCTTCCTCTATTTTAAATCTGTTTGCAACAAGACTTCCTTCCCTATTTATACTGATGTCCCTGGGACCAAAAGCCAAGGAGAGGAAAGAAACACAGGGACAGCTTCTTACCGTATTGTGCCAGCAAGGAGTGGATTAAAGGCATATAACCAGTCGTTCATGTCCTTGTCGTTGAGGGCCTGCAAAAGGACCCCGCGGTGCTTTGTGCATACAGCAAAGATGTTAGGAGTCTGAAAGAGATGCAGGTAGATGAGAAAGTTACGAGGACTACGAGCAACGGGGACCACCTGCCACATTCACAGG